ACTTGTTTATCTCCACGTTTCTAAGTTAGGGTTTCTAAGTTAAGGAGCTTGAGCTTGTGGCTCATGATGCTAGAGGAGCGGTCTACTGGACCTGTCCACATCGAGACAGATAGCCACAAGGGAGATTGATCTTTTTGCTTTGAAAAATGGTAGTGAAGAGCAGTTCAGGAACAAAGGTACTGTGGGCTGCTTGAGTTCACCCGTGCAAAGGCCTCAATCGATTTTTATGACGAAGAGTGAGCATGGAATCCATACAACAGGATTTAAACGCCTTCGTTGCCATCCCTATGCTTGCAGGAGTTCGCCCGGAAGCAACCTGGAGTATACCCACCAAACAGCATACCTATCTCCTGAACCTTAAGCACAAGACCCTCATTTTGTCAAAGCAACAGAAGGTTTGCCAGCGTGTAGTTTGGCGGGCCGCCAAAGCGCCACTTGACCCCCTCCTTTTGGCAGGGTTCAGGCTTTCGGGTGTAGAGCTTCTGAGCCATGGTTGCTGTACGTAAGGTTATCTCCCTCAAGCAGCAGGCAAAAAAGGCCAAATAAATCAACATACCTGAGCCAGTCCCGAAGTGTTGAAATTCTATGAAGCCCATTCCCGGTTCAGCCCTCAATGGATCTGGGCTTATGGATCATGGAAAGGGGCAGCAGCTTCTTCAGCGAAGCTCTGGCTGGGCTTTAACCTGTGATGCTCACTGCTTGGGCCACAACCTTAATCCATACATGTGTAGTCCCCAAATTCCGGGACCAAAAACTCTACCTGCACGTATACACATATCTCCGGATATATGTAATATGTGTGAAATGTATTTAGAGGTTAGGGTTCCTTCGCGGGGACGACCTCATAGCTATCCAGTGTAAGTATGGACTAGCACCCTTGTGACATCCTCAAGCTTAGCTTCTGACACATGTGGTTCTGAAACCTTATCACCTAACTGCCCATTAATCCCCCTGCTGCTCTAAACGGCCGCAGATGAGGAAGCTCACTTAAGAAAACTTGATTCGAATTCAGGGCCTCGTTACCACTTTGGGGATGAAGACAGCCCGGCACTTTAACTGCGGAGCTGGAACGCTGTCACTTCTTTCGGGCTTATCAGAGTGGCATCTAGTATGTAGGTCCAGGGATTGGGGCCTGTAAAGGGAAGGGCACAAGCGCACAAAGCTGGAGACCAACAACTGGAAAAGCAGAACCTTTGAACCGCAAGTCTCAGAGTCGAAGCTTACACGTCATAGCCTTTAGACAGGGTTTAGGGCCTAGGGCCTTGGGTTTAGCGTTTACCGCTTGGAGCTTAAACCTTAAGGCTTAGCACCTAGGGTTTAGCGCTTGGGGTTCGGGGCTCGGACCTTGGGGTTTAGAGCTAAGGGCTTGATTAGGGCTTCGGGTCTGCCTGCTCTTGGAGCCTGAAAGCGGGCTACAGATTACACTGTTGCTATTCCCAGCACCGAGGTCACCGAACCCAGGCTTGAGTAAGCTGCGCTCAAAACCTGAACCGATAATCTTAACTCACCTGAAGAAGCAACTAGGTTTTCACAGCCAAGGGCCTCGTCCATGAATGCCCTCTCTGGTTCCTTCATGTTGTACTTCCTTGGTCCAATTAGGTGAGATTCTAGCACTTCCCATGAGAGGAAGTGTACACAAGTCTGTGGAGGTTAAGTTGGCATCTGACATCTAGGTGGTCTAAATACCAAGTTGCAGCAGTGACTAACAGATCTGAGTTGCTGGGCTAGGGAACAACAGTTTCTTACTAGTGCTTAAGGAGGAGTCGGGAAGGGATTGAGGTACTGTCGTAGGGTATGCACATACGTGTATATAGATATATGGAGGCCTAGATGGTCTAGTTATAGGTAGCCAAGTAGGTTTGGGGTTTAGAGTAGAGTAGAGAGCTCCTTTCCACCCAAAGTAGCACCTGACGAAAATTGCAGGTATCAGATAAACAACAGAGCCTCAGACACCAAAGTCTCCTACATTGCCAACTTTCAAGTCAAAAGAGTGTGGGCTCTGAAACGAACTTACATGATGGATGTCCACAAGGAATGGCATGTTCGCCCGAAACCTTCCATCAGATATCGATTGCGTGTATCGGACTCTTAAGGCTTGATATCCTCAAACAAGAATGGCGCAGTAAATGTTCACAAAAAGGACACTTCTGGTTCATGCACATTTCTGACAAAACCTTGACCGTCTGTGGCTCGTCTGTCTCTGTTGGGTTACCCATGATAATGTACCTTATTTGTTCGTACTGCCCCCGATAAAACACGATAATAGTTTGAAACTACAAAGAGCCTCTTCCCCTACAAACCCAGCACCCCAGACACCTACTAGTAGGCACAGCTTCTTTTTGAGCGCTTCCAACTCATCGCGCATTGCCTTGGGATCCAGGGTTTCTGACCGTAGGGCTTATGGATTGTATTTCTTGCCTAGGACCTCCGGCGTTGGGTCTTAAGCTCAGGGTTCGGAGCTTCAGGTTTTGGGCATGTGTCCCCGAACAAACTTAGCTATAAAAGGTGCACAGCCAGCAACCAAAAAGTTCGAGGGGCTGAAGCCCAAACTTTGTTGTGTAGGTGGGGTGGGGGGGTGTCCAAAAATTAGGGGTACCTTTTTAGAGGGTCTAATTGCATTTTGGGTTGTACCTCACGCCTCCCTAGCATGTCAACACCAGTTGGCCCCGAACCCTCACAGTCCAACCCAGATTGGAACCTGAAGTCATACAATGTATCATTAACACAAACCTTAAGTAAACCACCAAAACGGTCCTTTCGCGCTACATTGCAACCAAGTCACATCTAGGTCCTCCTTTGTGAGCGCTTTGGGATGCTTACCCGCCTCCAGCGAACCAATCCCATGAGTATGCAATGCGCATGTGTCCAACCCAGGTGTCCTGAAAAAAACCAAGCATGAAAAAACAAAGCACCCAGATCCTTAACTCGTCCGCCTGTTGATCTCCCCACATGAAAGGCACGGGAGCGCAAGACAGGGTCCCGAAGGGTTGCTCAGGGTGGGTTCTCACATCTCAGTTACACGTCTGAAGGTCGCGTCTTAGAAAGATATCATAGGCACTCCCGTAAAAACTGGACAACAAGCTTTGGACGCAGAAGCAGGGCTTACTGAAGGGTCTGCTTTCAGCATCGGCAGGATCCAACTACCACCATCATGCCAGCTGATGCCGAATGTTCAAACACCTGTCTTCACAATTAATGCTTGTTTTTTTGGCCATTTGGCTACTTGCCGTCATCATCAATGAGTAGCTTGGCTACTTAGAGAGACAAAGGACTAGTGCTAGCTGAGACGCTGCCCTTGGTACTGCATTTGATACAGGAGCTGTTGCAGCATTCAAGGTAGCTGCACGGTTAGAGTAGCCAGGGTATGGCACACTTATGCTTTCTTCTCATGCAGCCGCTTGATTCGTACCACCTACGCACTTTTATGAATCACGGGGTTACCACTACGACCCACCACCACCACAAGCAGCTTGTCTTTTTCCCTCAGCAAGCATCTGGCCTCCTGTGGACCCTGGAAGTGCGTCTGCGCGAGCGATGGGGCCTCCATGCAGGACGCAAAGTCAGTACTTAGGGCGGTTCAGGGTCCAGGCGGTGAGGAAAAATCTCAAATATAAGGAATGAAACACAGAATCTCAACCTGAAGGCTTGAAAATTGGCTCTTGCTCTCATCATCGCTAGTGCCTGTGCGGTTCATGGTGCTATTCATATTCGTCGTGATGACAACTCGACTACAATCTGATCGTATGGTAGTCCATGAAAACACCTGCCCCGCATTGTCCGCTCGAGAAAGCACGCTCGCCCAAAACCTAAACCCTGTCAGCACCCTAGAAGATCCCTAAATCACCTGCAGATGAGGGCTTCTCAAAATCATGGATCTAGTGCGAAGGGCAGAGGGCAGCAGCAGCTCCAAGATCCTGATCTTTGGAGGGTGTCCAAGGGGAATTGAATCAGGGACAACACCATTAAAAAGATGTCCAGAAGCTTGCCTGATTATTTGCCTAGATTTCTTTGGCTGGAATGTTGGTAACTCACCAACGTAGTCTTCTAGTCGGGAAGCAAACAGGGGCAACAACCTATACTGATTCAAGGGAACCACTATCCAGGCCTCCTTGGCAGCCATGGCTTTTTTTGGCGTCGGCGCAGGCTACTTTGAAAACTGGAAGGTCTTGAGGTGAAAACAGCTGCGGCGAGTCAGGTCCTAACAGTGAGGCTTTACCTGCTTCAGGGGCGCCATCTACAAGGCAGCACCGTAATGTGGTTGTGCTTGAGATATCTGCCGCTAACAGGTGGAACCTGTGCGAGGCGTGTTAGCAGTTCAACTCATTGAAGTGCAAGTTCAGGTCTATTCTCAGAGTCTCCCGCTGGAATCTAGACCCCTGATGGCCACCCTCGGAGGCTAAGGTACCAAATGCGGGGTTGCTCGACCCTGTTAGTTAACCGGCTTCGTCAGGCTTCATCAATCAAAGGTCTACATGGCTGCCTGCCCATTTCAAATTCAGCTGAACTTGCTTCAGGCTTGGCAGACAGCATACTGCACATCCAAAGGCTCTCACAGGCGCTTGTGGGCTGATGTAGTTATCATCTATGGCTTCCCAAAGCCCGCGCCCTATAACTCTTGACTGGCCCCGTTCAGCCCTTGAACCTCGAAATCCCTCTATGGATAACCCTAGAAGCCCTACATACAACATGTAACCATACCTCCTTGAAATGTTAGCACAGCTCCTGCAAAGCTAGACTGGTGTTGTTGTCACGCTGTCCTTAGCCTCTGTGCGAAAAGCTGCGTTGTTCCGTTAGACCCCTCTGCCTGCACGCGCCTAACAAAGTAGGCAGAAGACTCCATCAATATCGCTAAAGGTGAAAAATGCCACCTATGTAAGCAAAGAACTGTCGAAGAACAACTTGTAACCGGAGTCGAAGGCTTCTAAACACTCAGGAATCCGCAGAAATCATGTTCAAAATCGTCCCACTATAAGCCTACACCACACCTTAATCCTACTTTCTCAGGCGCGGACGCCGTTGGCCTCAAACACCTCCTTTGCAGTGGTTTCATTGGCGAAGATCTCGTAAGAGCCTGCGATGAATGACGGAAGATTCTGAACGGAGAGCTGAAGTTCTCCTTTGACGTGCAAAGTATTGTACTTGTTGCGATGGTTAGAACAATCCCCAACGCTATACAAAACGAAGTTGCTTCTAGCTCTGCTTGGATGACTAGCGATGTCAGCCCAGGGTTCCAATCCTTGTGGTGTAGGGCCTGGGGTCTTGGTACATACCCCAGACAGAACCCAACCAAACACAGACCTCTCAACTCAGACCCTCAGTCTACCCCTGAGCCGCAGTTGGGTTGGAATGCGTTTTAACGCTGCAAGGGATGCGACCTGAATGAAGGTCTAGAACTTAGCCAGGTCTTTCATTGATCTGGGGCTGCCGATTCGGTTGTCTCAGGAACGGGTTTGGGCTTTAGGTGCCCGGGATCCTGTTGGCTGCTGATGAAGGATTGATCTGACTGATTTCGAGTTTTGGGCTTACTTTGTTGCCAGGAGGCTCAAAAGGTGGGATGAAGGTAGGTGGGGAAGAGGAAAGAAGCCCCAACATAGTAGAATTTACAATTGGGATCTTTTAACCCACCTAGCTTTATCCCACCTTGTGAGTCCCCTGAAGGTCATACTCTTCTTCAGAAAACAAGACTCGAAATCTCAACAACCACTGAAACCCAACTTTATGCCGGCGAAGGTTGAGAACACGAAGACCAAACGCTACTCCAAGCACCTGCAGCACACGTGCAAACCGCTCAACCCTAGCCCACAACCAAGGCGCAACAGCCAAATCATCCGATCAACCTTCGCGCCTTTGACGTACTCCCAAAGAGGCTCTGGCTGACTGTCTCGAATGGCCAAGACCTTGGGCGGAATGATTCTCGGGCTCAGGCTGTGAGAGTTGGGGTTTTCAGCTCGTACCGATCACAAGAACAGCGCGATGAAGAGTAGTGGTGAAAGCAATGGCATGATAAGCACCAAAAGTGTGAACCCACACGCAGTTGCTTGAGTCCGCAATAATGCTAAGCGCCAAATATGATCTTTAAGTCAGGTGGCACAGGTTTTCAGGATCAGCAGAGCAAGGAAATCTCAGTGGCTGCTGAGACCCTGAACAGAACTTCTGCGTACACTCACCAGGAACTCAGAACAACTCCTGACTCCTGCAGCACATACAACCCAGGAGGGGCATGAGTCTGTGGGAGCGCCCAAAAAGCTATGATAAGATATCTACGCCTTGTACATAGGCATGTGTATACATATTTGGTCACCCCCATGATCTACACTTACCCTTTTCTGCCATATACGAATAGCCTATCTCACATACAACGAAAGGTTTTCCTCGATCTGGGAAGCAGAGTTAAACATGATCTGCAGCGGTCTTGGCGTTTTAATGCCAACCTCGAACTTTCAACACCCACAGTATAGCTCATTTCATTTGATTGTCACCTAGATTTCACATGGAATTGAGGGCAATTGGTGATAGAATACACATGACACCATGGTCAACCAGATTTCACTACAGAAGGGGGCCGCCACAGCAGACCCCTGTGACGAAACTGTCCTCTTCGATGAGCCCCATCCCTCTGCAGACCCACTGTTCACTGATTTATCAAACTTTGGATCCTCTTTTGCAGGGCAAACCCTCATCTTACTGGTGCTGACGGCGGAGTGGGGGAGTGAATCTAAGGACTACGAGAGGAGAGTATATATAGGGATTACGATGGGGAATTTCAATGTGGCATTGAAGCTCATGACCATGAGAATCCGCAACCACAAGAAGAATGGATAGTTCTCGCTGTATGGCAACTTCCGAAAAGTCAAGGCCCGTAAACCCTAAGCCCCTAATCACAGCGTAAACAGCGTAAACCCAAACGTTAGCCCAAGGAAGGAATGCTGAGTCGCGTGGTGACTTGTATGCAGTACAAATATCCCCTGTACGTGGAAGCTAACCCAGTAGACCTAGATCACTGGAAGACATCTTTTCTTCTGTGTGCGCCGTATCCTCGCTGACTCACCAGTGCACCTTACCCCAGCGGTACTTGTCATGCCACTTTTTGGGCACCTTGATGCCGGACATGCCTGACATGCGAGCACGCAGGCGTAGCACAAACATAGGAGTCTTGGCACGACACAAAGACTAACAACAAAAAACACTGTCGACACTCACTACAGATCCGGCATGACCTGACGGTACCAAGCTGCGGAAGAGGTAACTGCATCAACACCTTTCAATTCGCATACTCTGCTGAATTCCGCCGCTCTTCCCGTTTAATAGCTTGAGTAACGTAGCAAAGTTCGAGTCTCTTCATATCTCTCCATACCCCCACGAAACATGTCGAAGATTTAGCCTTCGGCCTGATAACTCCCACAAAATTGCACAAAATTCTCGGAATCCAGAAGCCTTAATTCCTATGAACTCCTGCAAGCCCAGTTTCCATTTGATGTTCCTTTTGCTTCTCCATTTGATTCTCCGTTATTGGGGTAGTATATGTCCCTAAACCCTAGACCCTAAATAGTACCGTAATTTCCATGTTCCTCAGTGTCCCATGTAATCCCTGTATTTTGGAGTGGGAACCCTGCATTTTGCCAGGAGAGACCAGATGCAAGGTCCCTTTCGAACATCGCAGTACAAGTCGTGCTTCGTGGCACGACGAGGGTCGCAAGGCTCCTTGGGTTATCGCTCAGGAAAGGCTGGAAATGGAGGTAGGTTTTTTTAAAGTGGACTATGCTTGCCTCGTTCTGAGGAAGCCGCCTTGAATCGTCGGTGTTTGCCTCTTTTTCAAACTCCGCTGAGAAGGTGCCATGCAAGCTTACTCTTCGGGATCAGTTTCAACACGAGCAGTAATTAGTCGGCAGCACTATCTGAAACCAGCGCGGTGTTCGGAAATGCGCAATAGATACTGAGTTCCCCCAATCATAGCGCCTAGCCCTAGCCCCTAAACTTCATCGCTGAATCCACAGGGCAAATCACGACAAACCCCGAAACGCGTACCCTTAGACTGCAGTATCCCAGGCTCCGCATGGTTTGATCCGGTCATTGAGCACCCGCGGGCTGGACAGTTGTTCGGGCTCAAGCCGGTCGGATTCACCCTGCAGGTTTCAGGTCTATCAGTTTCAGATAGAGCTCAGAATCGGGGGCTTTGTGCTTCCATCACGCAACACCTGTTTGCGCACCCACCCTCTTCACCCCACTGCGCGCCCCGCACGAGGCTTTACAGAGCCTGGTAAGATTTACAAAGAGGATTGAACGACGAAGAATCTAACAGAAATCTTCAACGTTTACCACGGCTTGGTGTTCCATTGGTGCATGTAGCAACAGGATTCTGTTTGCCACAATTGACGGTACCATAAACTGGCCTCAACACCATAAACCCCTCACAGAAACAACACGATCCCGACAATCCCAACTCCGAAACCCAAACAGTGTAGTACCTTTATTCTTGTCAGCACCGGCCTGTACCAGTCAACGTCCGGAATGAGGCAGCAGCAGCGGTCAAAGATCGAATCCTGTTCTTCATCCTGAAGATCATGGTGATCATGGGCATGGTCAGCACCACTGTGCTCTACGTGTTTAATGTGCTTGCAAGGTGAAAGGACATATGCATTAAAAGCCATCGTCAAAGCAGTTGGTGCTGCAGTGGCCAGCCAGAAGAAGCAAGTCGAAAGTAAAAATAGCATTCTTGAGGTATGGCCGTAGCCGCTTGTCTTCTTGTCCACATCGTCGTGGGTGGCTCTTGTGGCGGTGGTGGTGGTGGTGTGGCGGCGGCGGCGGCTGTGGTGGCGGTGATGAAGAAGAAGAAGATGGACACCCTCACTACGAAACGAAACAGTATTTCGAACAGATCGCTATTGTCTTTTCTGATTGGACGCCAACAACATGCTTTGTGTTGCATCCGCAGAGGCAGCAGCCTGCTTGGTGTTTTTCGTATGAAGACTACAAGACTATAAGGTTTAGGTAAGGCTAAAGCTTCGTTGAAAGTCATTCATTTTGGAAGTCCCAGATTTTCCTGACGCCCTTTGCACGCCTCTGCGGAGTACCCCTCATCGAGCTGCTCCTGATTGCGGTCGTTTTTCCGCACAGCCCCAACAAGGGGGAGAAAGACCACAAGGCAAAGGCCAAAAACAGGCAGGCTCCCAGCGCGCAACATCATGGCTTGGGCTTGGGCAGACCACGCGACCAGCTTGTTACAAGAGGCTATGGCAAGCTTGAGCCACAAAGCAAACACAGGCAGAAGCAAGTCTACCGTCGGGGGGGGCAGATTTGCTATATCCCGTGACAACTCTTCGAGACCCTTAGCATCCCACTTCAAGACAGATGGTGCGCTGGTCAACCAGTATGAAGCAACAAGAGTTCTATCAGATCTTAATTCCTGTCAATGTGGCATGCTCCGACCGTAGTTAGAAATGCTGCTGCCGGGCAAGTTAACTACAAACATCTCCTCTGGCAACCAGACCACCACCGAATTCTTTGTGACCCCAAAACCTGCCAAGCTCTGAGATGCCAACCCACTGCCGCTCTCCAACTTGACCCAAACATCGTCCATTCTGCGCAGGGAAGCAGAGGTTTCGTGGTTCAGGGCCAGTGCTCAAAGCTCATGAACCAAGATTTATGTGTTTCGTTTTGGCCTGCTTATATGGAAGGGCTAGTAGGTCTTGCAATTTCATGGGGCAAGCTCCTAGGGCTCGACGTCTTCTTCCACCATAGGGGTGAGTCTTTCAGGCTTCCGCTCTCCAAGAGGCAACCGCGGCCGCCTCTTATGTCAAGAAGCCACGCGAAATGCTCAATCGAAGGCCCTGTGAACACTAATTATAATTACTATCTTTCGAGAGGACATTACTGAGTTTCGGGGAAACGCCCTTTACCCGTCCCCGGCTGGGGAGCTGTTTCAGGAGAGGTGATTTTGAAACGTTTAACAGCTTGCAGCCAGTTGAAGCACAAAATCCACAACCCTTGACAGGTGCACACCTAAACTCTGGAGCCTGAACCGTGAAATCTCGAATCCCCAACTCAAATGGTCAGGCCTCCCCTTCAGATTAATGATAACAATCATAATAAGCATAACGCCAATGATAATAACAATACTAATAAGAAGACTAGTAACAGCAATAACAACAATGGTAACCATGATAACAATCCAAACCCCAAACACCGCAGAAGGCCTTGATTCCTCCTGTGCATTCCTTGCCAAGGCAGATGTGGGGAGGGTCGGCCCACTGGTTCGCAGGTTTGGAAATGGCTTTTACGTTGGTTTAGTTGATTCAGTGGATCTGGAGCAGCTCAGCTTCGATCTCTCAAACGAAGTAGATTGATTTGGAATGATCCAAAACAGGCATTATCCCAATATTACCACAAGAATACAAAAACCCATTATAACCCCAATATTATGGTAGTTTCCATTTTCTTTTTCCATTATCCCTATATTTATTCCCCATGCAAGTCATCAGCCACTCCCGGCCTCAAGCTTTAAATCAGTGCTTTGAAATAGGGTCTGTCTGCAGGGATTTCCTAAAGCTTTGCGCAACATAGTGGCATTGGCCTACCTTGAAAGAAGCTTACGAGCCAAAATTAGGTGAAAATAGCAGTAGGTCTTTTCTTTGGGAATACACTGCTCGGCCGCTGCGAAGATCTACACTCGTCGCTTTGCAAAATTGATCTTTTCAGGCCATCTTTGAAACACGGGTCTATGTGAACTCTCCCAGTATCAACCATGCAAATGTTGCCTCCAAACCTTTAGCACAGCGCGTTTGATAGAGCAGCGTTTGCTGCTGTAATTAGTGGCCTAGATGCCGGCACCTGGTGGCCAAGCCCTGCACCAAAAGCCTGAAGCCCCAAGCCCCTCAACCCTGCACATTCAAACTCTGTACCTTTCAGCTCCGAACCCCAAACCCTGAGAACTGGGCCTTGGGATGCTGGACCCAGGTGCGGAAGTAGTACCAGTCGCGCTTCCAGGTGTAGGAACTCGGCGACAGCTTCAAAATTGTGGTGTGCGAATGTCTGCAGCCCTCTTAGAACGTCCATATATTCGCACGTTCATACACACAGTTCTTTGCGCCCATGCCAACACCTCAATCATGCGGCGTAGTATGTCAGGCTACGGGATTGAGAGAGGCGGGCGCACGCAGAGCTTGGAGTTGAGCATGTTGGTTCGGTACAGGATCTTTAGGCTCAGATTGTTCGTGGCTTTGTGGTGGGAGACTTGGAGTTCTGAGTTGGAGTCTTATGAGTGTGGTGTGTTGATTGAAATGGTCTACCAATCCAAGCGGACTTGGCTCGGACCTTCAGACTTGGGGCTTTGGTGCACCGTCCTCGCGCCAATGTCGTAATAAGACTGAGATGAGCATACCAAGAAACAGATGAGGTCTGTTATGAAGGAGCAGCCAAAGAAAAACGGAATCGCTTCTCTACTCATCGTGCTAGCCCACAAGCTTCGGCATCCAGATAGGGCAGCTCTCTACGTTGCATGAACCTTGCCCTGCTCAGCTGGGACATTCCCAAGCCTCCACTGAGCCCACAAACTGAGAACGCACTCCCGCTCCTTTTAACCGCTCCTTCAGGAAACCATGAATTCTAGTGAGGTGAGGAAGGTTACACAAGCGCGCATGCAAGAGCGCATCGATGCTCCAACTGCATCGAGCATCACATCGGTCTAGACTAGGTGTCAGGACGTTTTTGCGCAAGCTCTACACAATGGCTGGAGAGAAGCTAGGCTAGTCCTGCCTGCTACACCGATACATACCTATGCTACATGTAACTCAAACATGAATCTCCAAGCCCAGACGAGAACGAAATTGCGAACCTCCAAATTGTGTTCCAAAATACTGGTCCCTTTCTCACGCGTTCCATGGCTATGAGATCCCAAACGCGCGATCCTTTCTGGGCTTACCGCTTCTGCGGCTCCAGCGGATTGCTGAAGTTGAAAACCTCCGACAGCAAGCACAGTTTTGAGCTGTTACCATAGCTAGGATCCGCTGAATAGGCTGACTGGGCTTCACATGGCCTCATTGGATTTTGGGGATTGCTGTTTCATGTCCACTGGTGCGTTTTTGGACAATGCTGGTGGCAGCTGGAATCTGGGT